GCGCAAGAGGTGCGCTATAAGCTGGAAGCAGTGCACGATAATAGTACGCATTTCGTCTTTCGGGTCCTTAACCTTCCGCGGTTTTCGAATTTCAGTGTCACGAATCACGAGTCGTCCTCTGCTCATCTCACTCTAGCCCAGTTCCCGTAGCCCTTTCGTCATTCTTGCTCGCGCACATGTATGAATTTTCACGCACGATGCAGCCTTGCACCCCTTCCCGACCCTGATTATCGTCCTATCCAATATTGTTTCGTCAATCGTCTTTTATTTTGCTAGATCTCTCCGCCACAGGCACACGGGAAGCCTCACGTCCACGATCCCAGCAACTTGAGCCACATTCTCGAGACCCGTCGCCGGCTCGTCGGCAGAGCGCTGCTCGTCGCAACGTGTGTGTCGCTGGCGATATTGCTCTGGTCGTGCATCCATGGTGATTCCGTCGCCGACTCCTCGGGCGGCGCGTCGTCCGCCGGAACAAGCGGCGCGACTGGCGGATCGTCGTTTAGCAGCTCTGCGGCTGCCCGGTTCCTGGTGCTTGGCGACTGGGGTCGCGATGGAGAGTACAACCAGTCACTAGTGGCAACACAGGTGCATACGCGGTGTGGTGTGGGCTAGGGTGGTGTCTACGGTGATGCCAACACAGCCGCGCTATCGAATTCAAGGCGGGATACTTGCCTTGAATTTTCAGGGCAGGACACGCCAGATTTGTCTGGCTGTCGGTATTCGTCGCTGGGTGTTCTTTGGGCGTGGTGTCGGGACGCGACTTAATAATCGCTCGGCCTGTTTTTGTTGCTCGCGAAAACGACTTGATGTAGTTGCCGTTACTGTAACCACCTGGTCCTCGCTCTCGTTTCGCATAGCGTCAATCCCGCTCCCTTTTTCCTACGATTGTCGCGCTGCCGACCGCGTATCCCATTCGCGACGTGTCCCCAGATGGCGCGAGTTGCGGCGGACATGGCGCCGCAGTTCGTCATCTCCACGGGCGACAACTTCTACGACTCGGGGATAGCTGACGTGGCAGCGCAGCAATTCACCACGTCGTTCACGAACGTGTACTCGCAGGCGTCGCTGCAGGTTCCCTGGTATTCCGGTGAGTTCTTATCGTCTGCGAGTTCCACCTCACATGTACAAAAGCGCCTCCCCGCGCCTTCCGCAATGCGTTTGTATGCCCTTTCCTTGTTCGTCTGGCCATAACTACTTCCTCAACGCGTGAGTCTCCTGTGTGTCGCCGTGTGCGTAAATGTGTTCGTCGTTGTGCGTGCAGTGCTGGGCAACCATGACTACTATGGCAACGCGCTCGCGCAGCTGCACCCGCACCTCACGGCTCGCGACCCGCGCTGGGTGTGCCGCCGCAGTATGGTGCTCTCTCTGCCGCTCTGCAGTAACGCGCAAGGTATGTGCCGCGACACGAATCTCACGTTTGGTTTCGAGCTCGGGACTCGCTAAGGTGTGGGTGAGCTGAAAAAGCGAGAGACTAAATCTAAAAGTAGTTGTTTACTCTGAAGGTGGGTGATGTTAATTTCGTGGGGAGCATTACTCTTGGAGAAAGAGTGTCGAATGTGTGTGGAAAGAGGTCGAGAGTGGCAGTACTGCAGACAGGGGTCGAGTGTGAAGCTGGGGAGCTGCACAACACAATAGCCGCATGATGCACACTACTCCAATTGAGCATTTGAAATCCTCCTCCTGCCTGACCTGACTGCAGGCTTTGAATGCTAAATTAACCTTCACTGTTCTGTCCTTCCCTGTCTCTGCCATTCTCCACTGTTTCATGTATCCTTTGGTCCCCCAGGTGTCTCCTGCACGGACCTGCTGGATATCTTTCTGTATGACACCACTCCCCTCGTGCGCGAGTACCGCTCTGAACCGCACCGTTCGCTGGACTGGCGCGGGCTCAACGCTAACAACTGGACTAAGCAGGAGCACGCTCAGCTCAAGGTGCAAGGGGCAAACTCACTGTGTTGTTACTGTGTTACAGTTTGACGGTGAAGCAGTGAGACACTGGTCGATTGGTTTGGTCATACCTCTTTCTGCCTAGTTTTCTCGTAGCAGTGTCTGTTTGTATCTCTCTCCTCCTTACTCCTGCTTGAACCATTTTCCGCCTCACTCCGCCCATGTCACCCATCCTCTCTTCTCGACCTCACTCTCCCATCCCCTAAACTCTGGCAGGAACTGGAGGGCTGGCTGAGCAACTCCCAGGCCACGTGGAAGGTGGTAATTGGGCACCATCCGGTGTACAGCTTTGGCGACCATGGCAACCAGCAGGAGCTCGTTGAGGCTGTGAAGCCGCTGCTGGAGGTGAGCGCTCTCTGTGCGGTGCTGTACTGTGCTGTGATGTCTCGGTCAACCATGAGTCCCAGGGGAGAGGAGAGGGGGCAGGGGGGAGTGGGGATGAATGGTGGTGGTGGTTTTGTCCGTTGTATCATCCGCCAGGAGGAGCTTTTTGAGTCTGTGCAAGGCGAATGCTTGAGCTGAGTGGCTGAGTGCTTGCAATATGAGTGCGTGAGTCTGGGAGTGGGAATGATTAGGTACTGGGCTTGTTTGCCCTGGAGCGGAATCAGCAGGGGCTTGGTGCTTCTCACAGTGAGCTTTGCTAAAGAAGAGGAAGAAATGAGGGACTGGAAGAGGGGGCGGCGGGGCGGGGCCAGGGGCGGGGCCAGGGGCGGGGCCAGGGGCGGGGCCAGGGGGGGGGGCAGGGGTGGGGGCGGGGGCGGGGGCGGGGGCGGGGGTGGGCGTGGGCGTGGGGTGGGGAAAGGTTAGAGAGGAAATGCGGGATTTGCAGTGGTTGTGGCAAGCTACCAGCAGGCAGGAGCTGAAGATTTTGCCAGTCTGGACTGGACGTGTGATACGACATACCACACGAATCAGCAGATTACCTTACCGACCGATCTCTTGCGGAGCGCCTATCTGAATTGATTCTTCTTTCCATGTTTTGCTGATTCTGGTATCTCTTCCGCCTCTCTCGCCCCTATCCCTCCCCCTCTGGGTTGCTTCTTGCGTGTATGTTGCACACCCACCCACCCATCAGAGGCACAACGTGCAGCTGTACATGAACGGCCATGACCACAACCTGCAGCACATCCGCAGAGACGACAGGTACTGTGCCGTGTCTACAGGCTGCGTGTACATACATGTCGAGAATGTGTGCTTGCACTGGAATGTGCTCCCAAACTATACCATTTCACGCCACACCATGCCACCCCACACCACACGACACCACACCTTGTGCAGTGCCATATGGTTATTGTGTGCCTTTGGCACATCTTTCTTGGGAAAATCATAAACAATCGCTTGTGAATCCCCCTTTTCCATCTGCTTTCTCTCAGCAATAGCCTCTTAGGGCGGGTCCAGCGCGTGCGTTTACAGTTCATCCTGTGCGGTTGACCTTGTTGCGTCACGGTATAAAACGGTGGAAACTGCAAATCCCTTTGAACCGTTTGATATCGTTTTGCGCCATGGGTCATGAACTGTAATCGAACTGTAAACGTACGCACTGGACACGCCCTTACCGATTCATCTGCCCTCCTTTCTCTTACCAACTGCACCCATATCCTCCATCCTGCCCGGCAGCCACGTGAATTATGTGACAAGTGGTGGCGGCAGCAAGGCATGGAGGGAGGCGCCACCTGCAGCAGACGCAGCACCAGGGTTGCGATACTTCTGGCCAGGCCAGGGATTTGTCGCAGTGGAGGTGGATGCGGGGGAGGTGCGACTGTCATTTGTTGGGGTGGATGGGAGTGTCATGTATGAGACGCGGTTGAGCAAGGAAGGCAGGTGACTATGCTGTGAAGCAGGGTGTAGATGGAGAGGTTCTTATGTTCGGTACATACTGGGTAGAGTGCATTGTGTGTTTTTTTTTTCATGAGGAACATGTGCTGAAGGATACCTATGTAGTGCTTCCATGTCTAAATCTGATTGGGGTAGGGCAATAAAATACCTATGTGTTTTGAGTAAATATTCTTGAGATTGGTCAATGCATCCTTTGGTGCTATGTCCTCCTTAAAGCAAGGGTGCACATTCCTGGGGGTGGCTTTTGGGTGTAATGTTAGTGCACACCCTCTGGCGCTTGCTGATTCGAGGGCGAATTTTGCAGGGGGTGTAAGGCTGGTGCGAGGGATTGAAACAAGGCAGGCGATGCCTACCTATTTCGGTTGAGTTTTTGGCTGGGGGAACACACCGCGGAAGGGCGGAAAGGGCGGAAATCAATCGCGGAAGTGAGAAGCAAGCGGGCATGAAGTGAGTCGATCAACCAAGCGAGTGATAAACCAGCCAAGGCTTCAACACCAAAGCGTAGAAACATCACAACTCAAGTGATGGCAGCTAAGCAAGCACATTCTAAGCGCCACAGCGACATCGCCCGCACGTAGGAGGTTCGTTCTTCCACGTGTACATGGTAGTGCCTTTCTTCGCACGTGAATGGCGTCATCGGCGCCTGCGCGGCGCGTCGTTTTCCTGTCCTCTCTGCCTCCTCGTCCTTTCGCCACGTCACATCCTCCACCCCGAATCGCAGTAACCTATCCTCTACAGCCTCTCGCCTCCCCGCTGCTTCGTGTCCTGGCCGAACGACGCCTCGCCAGCTCGTCGGCGCGTCGTCGCCAGATCGTCGCTGACTCGCCGCCACGCCTCGATTGGTGCCTCATCTTCGCCGCCACATCGCCGCCCAGCCGCCTCTTCGCCGTCACACAGCCGCCCCGCTACCTCGCCTCCTCATCGCCTATACATTGCTGATCCGCTGCTAACTCTAATCAAGATCTGCATTTAGCGAAATGCTTGCCGCCCTAGTGCTCCAGCGCCTAACTCCTTTGCTCGTCTGAAATCTTAAAACTTTCCGCCACCTGTTCCCGATCCCTACTCGCATGCCATCCGGAAAATACACCAACATGCCGTCGTGGCACGCAGATCTTCCACACCTTTCTCCATGAGCTTCTCGAGCTTAGGGGTTTCCATAGAACTCTGTTGCCGTCTGTTTCCTCTGAACTAGTTCTACCGCGTGTCTAGTCCCTGCTATGGGCGTATCGTCCTTAGCCGCCCCACCTCCCACATCGATGTCTCGAGCTCCTCCGATGCACCCCTGCCTCACGCGTTCAGTTCCCCATGCGCCGCCCCTACCCTCCCTTGCCTCCTTCCCCCCCACCCCGCCCTCTCTCCCCTCCCCGCCTTCCCCTCTCCCCATGCCCGTGTTCGCCACGCTCCCGCAGGTCGCGTCGTGCCTCTTTCTCGTCCGGGCCGTGCACTACCCCGCGCCGCCGGTGCACTTTCCTGGGTCTCAGGTGTTCCATACACTGCACCAGGTGGTCTAAGCATGTGCATCAGGTGCTTTACCGTGTTCCCGAGGGGGACATGCGCCTAACACGTCCTCTCCTCTCTCATCCCGTCCTCCCCTCTCTCATCCCCCCCTCCGCTCTCTCATCCCCTCCTTCCCAATACTCAGCCCCTCCTCCCATCGCTCCTCCCCTCCTTCCTTCTCTCATCCCCTCCTTCCTTCTCTCATCCCCTCCTTCCTTCTCTCATCCTCTCCTTCCTTCTCTCATCCCCTCCTTCCTTCTCTCATCCCCTCCTTCCTTCTCTCATCCCCTCCCTCCTTCTCTCATCCCCTCCCTCCTTCTCTCATCCCCTCCCTCCTTCTCTCATCCCCTCCCTCCTTCTCTCAGCCCTGCCTCCCATCGCTCCTCCCATCTCACCATCTCTCATCCGTCCTCCACTCTCCCATTTCCACCCTCCTTCTCTCATCCCCGCCTACCCTCGCTCCTCCACTCCGTCCTTCTCTCATTCCGTCCTTCCCTTTATCATCCCATCCCTCCTTCTCTCATCCCCTCCTTCCCTCAGTCATCCCCTCCTCCCATCGCTCCTCTCCACTTTCCATCTCACATACCCTCCCCCATTTCCCCAGGTCGCTCCTCCCCTTTCCCCCAGGTCGCACCTCCCTTCCCCCTTTCCCCCAGGTCGCACCTCCCCTTCCCTCCTTCCTCCAGGTCGCTCCTCCCCTTTCCCCCAGGTAGCACCTCCCCTTCCCCCCAGGTCGCACCTCCCTTCCCCCTTTTCCCCAGGTCGCACCTCCCTTCCCCCTTTTCCCCAGGTAGCACCTCCCCTTCCCCCCAGGTCGCACCTCCCTTCCCCCAGGTCGCACCTCCCCTTCCCCTCTTTCCCCCAGGTCGCTTTTCCCCTTTCCCCGAGGTCGCACCTCCCCTTCCCCTCTTTCCCCCAGGTCGCTTTTCCCCTTTCCCCGAGGTCGCACCTCCCCTTCCTCCCTCAACGCTCCTCCCCTTTCCACCAGGTCGCTCCTCCCCTTCCAACCAGCTCGCACCTCCCTGTTCCCCTTCACAGAGCACCTTCACACTCTTTCACAATGCACTACCCCTCCCTTCCCTTTGCTTCCATTCCCCTCAAATCGCTTCTATGCCCCTCTTCTCCCTCCCCTTTCCTTCCCTTCTTATGTCTTCCCTGCGCTTCCCTTTCCCTATTCTCCCTTCCCTTTCCTTCCCTTCTTTTGTCCTCCCTGCACTTCCCTTCCCCTCTTCTCCCTTCCCTTTCCTTCCCTTCATTTGTCCTCCCTGCACTTCCCTTCCCCTCTTCTTTTTTCTCCCTTCCTCCCCTTTTTTCACCATGCCTCCCCTTTTTTCTCCCTGCCTCGATTTTTTTCTCTGTGCCCCCCTTTTTTAACCCTGCATGTCCATGTGAATGTGCTACCTCCTCTAGTCTCTTGCTATGTGCAGGGCAAAGCCGTGTCTTCACAAGTTTGGTGGCGCAGGGTGCAGCAGCGACGCAAGAGCACATAGAGGACATGAGGCACTAAGAGGAGTGGTGGCATACTGTTTTGTACATCAAGATATCTGTAAAACATTACTAGTACGGGAGTTTTGTACTTTTCATAGGGTAAAGAGTTGTTGAAAATACCCGAAAACTTGCACAAAATCACAAACATCACCAATGCCATCATTATTGGCTATCCTGACTCCCTAGTGTGGATGTATATTTTGTTGTGAATAACTTCATTCGACGATTCTCGACATGGAGAGGGTCCACACAATCCTAGGTTCAACAAATTGTCATCTTGGGTGCTTCATGCTCGACGACCTGCACCAATGAAGGGAGAGGGAAGGTGTGAATGAGCAGACAGGGGAACATAAGCAGATTTTAAGATAAAGAGTGGCATAGAGACAAGGACGGTGAGAGAAAGAGCATGGGGAAAAGAAATGGGTGAGCAGGGGGGAACAAAGGGTAAGCAGGGGAAAAGAAAGAGAGAAGGGGAAGCAATGGTAAGCCGGGGGAAAAGAAAGAGTGAGCAGGGAGGGGAGAAATGACAGGGCGGGTGGGGGGGGGGGGGGAGAGGAGAAATGACAAGGAGGGGTGAGATGTCAGGGTGGGGAGAAATGACAGGGAGGGGAGAAATGGCTGACAGTGAGGGAAGAACTGACAGGGCGGAGAGACAGGGGGGGATAGGACAGGGCGCAGACCAACGTGAGGTGACCCAGTCAAGAGCGCGGTCACCTCAGCTGGCCGTTCGTCACCTGACCTGAGCCCTTGGGGCAAGTGTAAGCAGTTCGACATCAGGCCCCATTCCTCAGCTCAGACTTGCAACGAGGTGCCAAGGCCGGCCGGCACTCGCACTGCCTCCTGGCAGGGGCAGGGCGAGTCGGGAGAGAAGGGTGGGGGAGAAGGGTAGGGAGAAAAGGGGGCGAGAGGGGTAGGGAAAGAAGGGTGGGGGAGAGGGGCAGCTTGAGAAGGGTGGGGGAGAGGGGCAGCTTGAGAAGGGTGGGGGAGAGGGGCAGCTTGAGAAGGGTGGGGGAGAGGGGCAGCTTGAGAAGGGTGGGGGAGAGGGGCAGCTTGAGAAGGGTGGGGGAGAGGGGTAGGGAGAGAAGGGTGGGGGAAAGGGGTGGAGGGGAAGGTGGGGTAGAGAGGTGAGGGAGCAGAGTAGGGGAGACGGGTGGGGGGAAAGATGGAGTGCCTCGGGAGAGGGGTCCAGGAGAGGCGTATGGGAGAGGGGTTGGGGAGAGAAGGGTGGGGAGAGGGGTAACAGAAAACGGAGTAGGAAAACCAAACTTTTTGTTTCGTAGACCTCACCTTCCCCCTTTCCCCCTCCTCCCACTTCCCCTCCTCCCCATTTCCCCTTTCACCCACTTCCCCTCCTCCCCTTCCCCTCTCACCCTATGCTCCCCCTTCTCCCCCCCTCCACCTCACTCACCCTCAGGCGCGGCCACTCGCGCATGGCCTGCGCCAGCTTGCGCAGCACCATGCGGTCTGCAGGCATACGGTCCTCACACACCTGGGGGGAGGGGAGGAAGGAGAGGGGCGGAAAGGGCATGGTGAGAGGGAAAAAAGAGAAATGTTCTGAGTTGTCTCGAAATAAGCAAGGAGCCAGCGACTCATAGTCAGTTGGCAGATGACATCATCGGGATAGCTTCTTGGAGGGGGGCTGGCGGAAGCTTGTCACCAAAAATCACAACCTGACCGAGGCCGCATAGGATGCAAGGGCAGGGAGAATGGGAAGGAAGGGGAGGTCGGTGCTAGAGGGGGAAAGCGGAAAGAGAGGGAAGGTTGGGGATAGATGGTGAGGGGAGAGGGCGGAGTATGATATAAAGGGGAAGGGGAGTTAGGCAGAGACGGGAGAAAGGGGAGAGAGGGATATGGCCAGAGTGGCGAGAGAGGGAGTCAGGCAGCGTGGTGAATCTAGGAGAGAGGGGAAAGAGGGGAGAAAGGCGAGATGAGAGAATAGAGAGAGCAGAGCAGGCAGGGTGTGGAGTACGGGCGAGAGGTGAGAAAGGGACAAGGGAGAAGGGCTGATGGGGGGCACGGGAAAATGCTTTGAGGAACGCAGAGAGGGGAGTACTGCCGAGCAAACAGTAAGAAAGAATGGGGGAAGGGATGGGATGCTGTGGCGTGTGGAGAAATGTACATATATGAAAGAGATCAAAGATGCGAGGTTATATCAGAGTGTGGCGAGAGGGAATATGACAGGGCAGAGAGTGGGGATATGACAGGGCAGAGAGGGGAGACGGGAGGGGAGGGGAGATATGACGATTGATTATGCGTGGGGGTCGCACGGAGTTATGTTGCGTAGGTTCCGCGCCTGGTAAGACAGGGAATGAGACTCGTGGCACGACGGAAGGCATCTGCGCATAAGTGCTAGGAAAAAAAATGCTTCTCACCGTGACTTGGCGGCGCGGTTGTCTCGCCGCATGCCTCTGGATATCGCGATTGGAGTGCTGGGTCACGGAGCGCTGCGCGCTCGATCGCGGCGTTGCGAACGCCCACCGCGTATCATGCGGCAGCGGACGCGTGCGGGCGCGGGAGCTAGCGATGTGCAGGCGCGGAAGCTGTGTTGTGATAGCCTATGGGTTGCGATGCGAATGCAATCTAGACTGTTGTTCGTACATCGAGGTGATACGGAACAGGGGAGGTAGACGCGCAGCGACGGGTAAGTCGCTGTGACGTCGAGGGGAGAGGCACCGCGACGGTGAGGAGAGAGGCACGGCGACGTGACAGGAGGCGATGCGACGGCGAGTGGTGTCTGCGCATCCGACGGTGAGGAGAAAGGGGCGGCGAGGGCGACGGGAGTAGCGCTAAGATCGCTCAGACGCGTTGCTCACTGAGGGGCGTATGCGCTGTCCCAACGTAGGGCATGCGCTGTTTCGAGTGGCGGGAGATGCACTGGTGGCGTGTGGGGCGGGATCCTGTCAGAGCGAGTATAAGCGCAGAGAGATGGCTTCTTCCGTCCGAGTGATATAACAATATGTTTACTTATAACAATAGGGTTTAGTCTGTTTAGACGATTAGGATATCCCAGCTCTAACTACGGATCTCTCTTGCCAAGGCCAATGCGCGCTGATGGCCCAACTCTAACCAGTGTGAGAGTACTATGCTGGTTGATCGTAGTCGAGTGAGTTGCCTGCTGTGTTTTGGTACACAAACTCCAGTGTGGTCCCTCCAAGTTCCCAACCCTGCTTTCTTCGCGCAGCACTAATAGGGGGAACACCTCGTCAATCTCCGTAGGGGTTGGCGCAAGAAATTGTCGCCTCCAACGCCCAACCATAAACCCGGTAACCAGGTGGAGGCAAGTGATAAACCTTTGCCTCCACCCCCCCCGAAGTGCACCCTTGCTTTAACAGAGCAGCCTTGGAGCCAATGGATGCCTTGTTGCTATGGTGCTAATAAATACGGTAGTACCTATTAGAGCGTGTTCATACGGCCTCTAGTCAGGCTGGCCTCTTGTCAGACTTGGTCATTAGAGCGATTTCGTTATTAACTCCGTTTCTCAGAACTTCAAAACAAACAGTGCTGTGCGATACACCTGATGCCCATTTCAGTCCCGTTCCCCATCTTTCTCTGTGCTCCTCTTTCAAACACGTGCTCACTACGGGGAGAATGGGACTGTATCTGGGTAGCCCAGCGTGTCTTGTCTGGGAAACTTGAATAACTTATTCGAGGTCAAGAATATCTTAGTTTTGTCGTGGGCTAGTAACGCGCGGGCCGTTGGCAGTGAATGTCGACCACTGGGCGTATGGAGTGGCTGTGGGCGTGTTCAGAGTGGGCGGTTGAGTGAGCATTAGGGTGTAAATTGGTCACACTTGACACGTACTGTTTCGGCGAGTCAAGGTCAGTCAATCGCGTGAAAAATTTCCTCACACGTGAGAACCAGGGTCTTACTCACGTGGGAGAAGGAACCCCGTTTTGTCGGGTATGCAGCAGACAATTGTTTTTCAGCCACCAATCACAGCGCGTTTCGATCGTTTGAAATTTGTCAGGATTCAGGAAACGTTTGTTCCTTCGGAACGGGGGCGCTGCACAGTGCCACGTCACCCCACGCATTGTGTCGCGCACATCGCAAAGCAACGAAAAGAAGCAAATAAAAAGTAGGGTTAAGCCGAAATATTAGTGTTTGAGGCGACTCTGACATGAGGCTATTCTGACTAGAGAGTGTTCCTACGGCCTCATGTAAGGCCAACCTCGTGTCAGAGTTGGAAAAACTCAAGAAATTCGTCATAAACACAATTTCAGGACTTGTATTGCGCGAGAAAGAAATGTGCGCGTGAAACCTTTCAGGCAATCCACATCAGCAAACCACGTCCAGGCACACTATACCATGCGAAACAAATATGTGTTGTCGGCCATATGGTGATCTGTGTGGCTGAAACACTGTACACGCGAAACGCAGCCAACCACGCGCAAGCAATCGTGACCTTTGTCACGTGATTTGTCAGCCACGACAAACAATCTCGCTGCGAGAATTTCCGCGACCAGAATTCCGTCGACCACCGACTGTAACTCCTGTGCGGATTCCGTTGACTTCGACACTTCGCTGCCGAGTTTCAAACCGAAGCGACTCGAGATCGGTCTCGCCAAGCTGTCCTATGAAAGACTCTTTTGGAACACTTGAATTGAAATGTCTCCAATTCGAAACTCGCGTGCATCATAACCAGCGCCTTAGCAGAAATTGTCATGCATATTTCCTGGGACACTTTCAGAACAGATTGAAGGTCACGAGTTCGAATCCCAGCGTTGGCATATTGTTGCACATGACAGCATTTCATTCTAACATGCGCCCTTGCTGACAGGAGCATGCTGGACCAGCCCTGCTGCTACATAGCAATGGTTGAAAGCTGTCTTGTCAAGCCACTTCGTGAAGAAGTCTGCGGGCTGCACCGTCGTAGGGATGTGCTGCAGCTCTAACTTCTTCATGCGCACCATGTCCTGCAGCCACATGTGGCGACGGTCGACACGCTTCATGCGCCCCTGCAGCCAACCAGCCTGGCTGAGCTGCACCGTGGACATGTTGTCGACGTACAGGGTGGTGGGAACACCCTTCATGAGCAGCTGAAGCTTCCACAATAGGAACCTTAGCTTACGCCCCTCCTTTCCCTCTTCGACTACAGCCACAAGCTCGCTCTCGGTAGATGAGAGCTTGGTCGCACCCTTTAGCTTCTTAGACTGCCGTGGACGACCTGTTCTCCTTATCACTAGCATCATCCGCATCCGCGTACCCCACGAGGGTCAAGCTCTTTGGTCCTCCCTTGAACAGCAACCCCATGCTCAATGAGGCAGCCCAGTAGGAGAGGGTGCGAAAGAGCTCATGCCAATGTGCATCAGTCCTCAGGTGCGCACCTGCTGCAAGGCGACTGCACGCAAAAGAGAGGTCAGGGCAGGTAGATGTGAGAGTACGACGGCTTATGCCAGCTATGCTTGCTTGCCTTTACCTTATCATGCTATTTCTAGCATAGGATAATTATATGCATGCATGAATTACTTGATTTCCTAGGCTAGGTGCTTTCCTATATTTTATTATAGTTATAGCACCGAGCTAGGTTGCGTGCACCGAATTCTGGCTTTTCGGTTGCCACCGAATTGCCTTCTACCGAATTCGGGAAGGATATGTTCGGGACGCTTCGCAACCTGCGGAACCTTCGCGTAACACCTGGTTACGGGGCCTTGTGTCGAGCCTATATATAGCCTCGTGTTGTACCCAGGTGATCATTCAATTCACATTCTCTTTTCTGAGCTCGATCCTAGATCCTCACACTTGGTAATCAGAGCCCGTTTGCACGCGAAGTTCTTTCGACCGCTAAAAACCAGTCTTCAAAAAACCGCGGGGGCGACGCAGTTAAACATCGATTTCGGGTACGTAAAACCGGTTCCGTGTTTTTCGCTCCCCCTCGATTCGGTTTTTCGGACGCGTTGATGTCAGGCATGGAGGGCCAAGGCGACAACTACGCGACTACGAGCGACATCGCGAGCCTCCGCACTGACATGGAGCAGACGCAGGCGACGCTTCGTCGACTCGAGGCTTTTCTGACAAGCCAACCAGGGTTCGCCACCGCAGCAGCAGCGACCGCAGCGACTGCAGCACCGACAACTCCAGCAGCAGTGGCGACACCGACATTTCACGGACCAATGGCACCACTGTCGCCGAACCTCGAAGCAGCACGACCGAGGCTCCCGGAGGCGTTCGATCCAAGCGCGAAGGGATCCGACGTCCGGCGATTCGTGGCCACCCTCAAAATTTACTTCGAGGCCATTGGCTGTTCGACCCCGCAACACGACGCAGCAAGGATTCGGCTCGCAGCGACACTGTTACGTGGACCAGCTCTCGAATGGATTTACTACACTGACGTAGCCCGCGGGGAGAAAACGTGGCAGCAGTTTCGGGCAGATTTAATCGAGCGTTTCGAACCAATTAATACGACCTACATGGCGCGGCAGCAGATACACCGACACAAGCAATACAGTAGTGTAGCACAGTACACGCAGCAGATGGAGTTACTGTTCAACCGCATCACCGACCTGACCGAAGGCGAAAAAATCCAGGCGTACACCGAAGGGTTAAAAGTGGAGATTCGGCGGCAGGTGATTGCGGCGAATTACAGCAGCTACAAGGACATCGTGCGTGCTGCCGAGCGATACGACGCGCTGACTCGAGGTCAACCCGAAACACGATGCTTCACGCCGAACCGTACATTCGGCACGGAGCGATCGGCACCCCCCACGTTCGCCGAATCGATGGATATTGACAAATACGACGCGAAGCAGCAGCCGACAAAATGCGAATTTTGCGGCGTAGCAGAGCATCAGTTTTTGTCGTGCTACAAAATGAAGAAAGCACGTGCGGCACTCCGGGACGGAAACAGTGGAGCACCCCTGTGTTAAGCCTAATTACTATGCGGAAGCGATTAACTCAGTGCCACAAGCATAAACTAGGCAACACTTAACATCACTTGTGAACCAAGCGAGTAGTTATGCCACGCTTAGCTTGTAGAATGAGCGTTCTGGTAGAGCAGAGTTTCGGCAGAAGTTGGTTGTGTATCTACTCTCGTCAATACGTAGAAGTAGATTGTAAGCTTGAAAATCATAAAAGCATTGTTGATGAAAGCAAATACAAGCACACATATAAGAGAGGTCCTAGGCACACAAAGGAAAACACACAAGGCAGTTGTCTAACTGTCGTCCAGGTCTGTGCTTTGCTGTCATGGAAAACGGTTGTAAAACTGCTTTAGAATTTGGCTTGATTTGCCGCTGTAGAATAACTGTCTTCAACCTGCACTGCTGCCAAATTCTCCTGCTGACTCTCCTCGCGAACATTCATGTTTACTCGTGTGCGATCATGAACGCCCGTGTGAGATTTCCGTT